CTAATTCCCTGGACTGGTATCAGAGGCTGAGCTGTGATCCTCTGATGGACGGGTGCCACTGTGTTCTTTGACTACTTCCGTAAAATGTTGAGACTTGGCTGTTTTCTGCAGATGTGTTGGGTTTGCCATATAAACTGTTGGCACATGGAACAGGTCTGAGATTGACTTAGCACATTGCTAAATGGCAAGCTATGTGCCCCCCGAGACTGAGGACTACTGACCAGCAAGACAAGCTTCCTGGTTGTGTGATTGTGCTAATTGGCAAAGTAACATAGGACACAGACGCTGAATGCATGTAGCGGGTGCTAAGTGACTGAGCACTAAGAGAGCAAGTAAGCAGCCCGGAGTTATAACCTGGTCCAATCAGTGAGCTGAGTGTCTGTCTTTGTCTGTAAATAGTCCCTGCGGCAGCCTTTCAATTCTAGCTGCTGGTGCACCTTTCAATGCAAGTCAATGCTCCCTCAGTGTCTGCAAATGGACTGGAGGTCATGAAGGGTTGGCAAATGTTGGATGCCAATGTCCGCTGAAGAGGGCTGTGCCCGACTGGTACCTATCGAATGTGCCCTGATGCTGAGCAACATGGAGGCTCCTTGCAGCTAGTGACAAACCACTCTGAATTCCATGTCAAGATTTGTCAGCATCTAGCTTAGAGTCATGGAGGTCTACAGCGAAGAAAAAAGGCCCTTTGGCCCATCGAGTCTGCACTGGTCAACACCAACCACCTGATTATTTTCAACCCACTTTAAGCACTTGTCCCGTAGGTTTGAGTGCCTTGGCATTGCAAGGCTACATCTAAATACTTCTTAAATGTTACGATGGTTTTTGCCTCTATCACCTTCACAGGTAGTGAGTTTCAGATTCCCACCACCCTCTGAGTGAAAAGAATAAATTTTCCCGATGTCTCCTCTAAACACCTGTCCCTTACCTTCAATCTCTGGTCACTGATCTCTTTATCAAGGAGAAAAGATTCTTCCTGTCAGCCCTGTCAATGCTCCAAGCTTGTTGGGTGTGTTTGTTCATGTTGGAAGTTTAATATTAATGAGTCAAGTTAAGCTGCTAATAATGCAGTTTTATAAGCTATAATCCCCCTTAATGTGAACCTCACCGTACCAGCTGGCCACAGCATGCACGGTGCAGCGATTTGGTAGACTTCTTGTCGAGTTTTACCAGAAATCTCACAAAGCCCACATTGCCCCTCCATCAAGAACTGGTGATAATGAGCTACCAGTGACAACTATCTCTAACTGCTGGCCACAATCAGAATGCTGTCAGTACCAAACTCATCCACACACCTCCACAATGCCCTGCCCAGACTTTCCCCGTCCCAAAAACATAGGGATGAAGTCTATTGGGAATCACTGCTCTCTACTGGCCCCAGTAACTGGTTGGCTACCATTTCTTCCAGTCTGACTCCCTCTGGGGATGCAGTTAGATGCCCTGCCGCAGTCAAATTTGACTCATTATTTTTAGTATTTGTTTCTTTATTGGCTTTTCACTTAAAGGAACTGTTTGAAAAATGTGACCTTCGTCTCACTCATTTGTCAAGTTCTAATAGAATAATTGGTCAAGGCAACAGTATTTCTCATTAATTCCAATGAAGGGAATGTGGGCTCCATGAAAACATGAGAAATGATGCTCACTCACATTCACTTTATTTGTCCTTTTCTCCTGTGCCTTTCAATTTTATCTGAAGCTCCTATAGATGAACTCAAAATTATCCTCTTAAGTTCCCTTCCCATTTAAAAAAAAGGATTCTGTCCTCAATTTTTCTAACTCTACGCAGTTAAATTACCAGATGCCCAAGTCTCTGAATGATACTGTGTACACAACAATAGAAGAGATTCCTGTCATTGAGAAGAAATGGCCAAGGTCAGACTTTTGCAGAGAGTCTCTGTTAATCAACATTCCAAACAGCAGCTTAGTTGTGACCTCCAATGTTCAACTTCAAATATTCAGTGGCAGTGGAGGAGCTGGCTTCACACTCTTGGGATACATGATTTAGAGAACACCAACAATAATAATGTTCACAAGATAAAGATAGGTCTGCTTGGGTTGAAAATATTTTCTGTGTATGCAGCACAGATCTAGATACAGTGTAAAACCACAGCAATTTTGATATGTAGTTTCTAACTTCAAAACTATAAATTAATTTTGAACTAGACATTGGTGCCACTCATCCTGAAGAGAAACATTTAGGTCAGACAAACTCACCTTGTGCTCCTCCACCCTTTATTCATGCTGATTTTTGAATTGTATGAAATGTCGTCCTTAAATTCACATTCAGGAAAAACATTAAGAGAAAAGTAAAAATTAAAGAAATACGTACTGTAGGCTGTGATGAAGAGGAAGGCGCTAATATGCCAATAAGACCTGAGGTAAGTGAGAGTCTTCTACCCTCAGAAGTGGGTTCTTTACACAGCTCCGTTTTACCCACTTTGGCATTGCTAGAGTAGGATCTGCTCAGCAGTTTGTGGTGTTTCAGTCCATCTGAGTCCTCTGTCTTCAGAGTGCTGGAGCAGGATTTGCTCAGCAGCTTATGAGGCTTTGGGGCACTGTTGTGCTCACATCTGGGGTCACCAGAACATGTCCTGCTCAGCAACTTATGGGGCTTCAAAGGAAGATTTTCATCTAGCCTCACGGTAGCAGAACATGACCGACTTAAAAGTTTATGTGGCTTTGTAGAATTAGCCTGTTCAGCTCTGGTGTCACTGGTGAAAGAACGGCCAAGAGGTTTGTGGGGTTTGGAGTCACAGCCATCTTCCACCTTGATAGCATTTGAACAGCTCCTCTTTAACAGTTTCTGAGACTTGGTAATTCCATCCTGTTCTGGTTTCAACTTTGATTTGCTTTTCCCACATCCAGGTGGAGGATAACTTGGCGACCTAGAATTGAGGCAATGCTACAGTCAGTTTCAAAATTAACGTATCTCTAAACGTGTCTAAGGGACAGAAACTACTCATGAGACATTTGCATATATTCAAATACATATTAATAACAGCAAATGGATCTAGGACATGTGGCTCTAATAACAATATTTATACTTTATAAATTAGAATAATGCACATTACACACATCTGAAAGCAACTGACTTATAGATACCGATGTTCTGGACAATGGATGGATCGTGAACACACAAAATAAGAGCAGTATTAGTCCATTTGAACCTCCTCCGCTATTCAATAAGATAGTGATTGATCTGTTTGTGTTTCAAACTCCACATTCTCATATATTCCTGATAATTCTTTATCTCATTGCCTAACACAAATCTATCTGCCTCTGTCTTAAAAAAAAATTCAATGACCCCACTTCCACCACTTTCTGAAGCAGAGAATTCCAAAGTCGCACGACTCTCTGAGAGGAAAGCATCCTCACCTCTGTCCTGAAGGGGAAATCTCTACTTTTAAAACAATACCTCCTAATTCTGGACTGACCCACAAGAGGAAACATTCTTCCCAACTCTACCTTGGCAGGACAATTCAAATCATCCATCAGTCTTCTCAACTGCAGTTAAAATATTCCCAGCCTGTCTTCAGAAGAAATCCTACTCATACCAGGTATCAATCTAGTAAACCTCCTCTGAACCATGACCAGTGTACTGGCATCCCTAAATAATGGATGTAAAGTGTTCAAGATGTGGTCTCATCACAGCTGCATAGTTGAAGCGTACCAATCTTAATGTTATGTTCAATTCCTCTTACAATAAAGATTAGCAACCCACTAGCCTTCTTGATTCCATGTTGTACCTGAATAATAATTTTTATGGCTCAGGCACTGGGACACCTAAATCCCTCTGTATTTTGAAATTCTGCAGTAATTCTCCATTTCACTAACACTCTGCTTTTTTATTCTTCCTAAAAGTGAATAACTTCATATTTCATATTCATCCACACTTTAATCCATCTTCCAGATTTTTAACCATTTACTAAATATTTTATATATTTAAGCAATTTTGCCACAGACTCTGCTTCTTATCCTGGTGTTAACTGTGAATTCAGCTACCATGCCTTCATTTAATTCAGACTAGGACAGAGCCCTGCAGGATTCTACTCATCACTTGTCAATCTGTACCTGTCAATCAAACAAAGCTCCTGGTACATACTCTGTTTTCTGCCATCCAGCCAATTTTCTACCTACTCTTCTAAACGGAAAGTGAAGTCTCCTCTACAGTGATCCATCAAACACTTCCAGGACAGGTACAAAACAGGGTTAAATACAGAATAAAACTCACATTAATCTCAAACTGAAAGGAAGCTTCTTCTAGACTGTCCCCATCTATTTCAGCTTGTATGTTATCTCCTCCACTGGGAGCTTTTACTTTCTGCAATAATCTTTGATGTGCCTCCTGGAAATCTTAGGATTTCTACAGGCTTCCCTTTAGCCAGTGTAAAAGTTACTCCTTCAAATAACTGCAACAATTGGTTAAACATGATTTCCCTCTGACAAAATCATTCTGACTCGACCTTGAGTTTTTCTAAGTGCCCAGCTATAGTTCCTTTGATGCTCAATTCTTTTGAATTCTACATATCAGATGTCAATCGCCTCAACCTCTCCACCCGTCTCACCCACTCCAACCTCTCCCCCGCAGAACGTGCAGCCCTCCGCTCCCTCCGCTCCAATCCCAACTTCACCATAAAACCCGCGGACAAGGGAGGCGCAGTTGTAGTATGGCGCACTGACCTCTACATCGCCGAGGCCGGACGCCAACTCTCCGACACCTCCTCCTACTGCCCCCTTGATCATGACCCCACCCCTGAGCACCAAACCATCATCTCGCAAACCATCCACAACCTCATCACCTCCGGTGACCTCCCACCCACGGCCTCCAACCTCATCGTTCCCCAACCTCGCACTGCCCGCTTCTATCTCCTTCCCAAAATCCACAAACCTGAATGCCCTGGTCGACCCATTGTCTCCGCCTGCTCCTGCCCCACCGAACTGATCTCCAACTATCTAGACTCCATTTTCTCCCCCTTGGTCCAGGAACTCCCTACCTATGTCCGTGACATCACCCACGCCCTCCACCTCCTCCAGAACTTCCAATTCCCCGGTCCCCAACACCTCATCTTTACCATGGATGTCCAGTCCCTCTACACCTGCATTCCCATGCAGATGGCCTTAAGGCCCTCCGCTTCTTCCTGTCCCGCAGGCCCGACCAGTCCCCCTCCACTGATACCCTCATCCGCTCAGCCGAACTCGTCCTCACACTCAACAACTTCTCTTTCAATTCCTCGCACTTCCTACAGACAAAGGGGGTAGCCATGGGTACCCGCATGGGCCCAAGCTACGCCTGCCTCTTTGTAGGTTACGTGGAACAATCCCTCTTCCGTACCTACACCGACCCTAAACCCCACCTCTTCCTCCGTTACATTGATGACTGTATCGGCGCCGCCTCGTGCTCCCACAAGGAGCTCGAACAGTTCATACACTTCACTAACACCTTCCACCCCAACCTTAAGTTTACCTGGACCATCTCTAACACCTCTCTCCCCTTCCTGGACCTCTCTGTCTCCATATCGGGCAACCACCTAGAAACCGATATTCATTTCAAGCCCACCGACTCCCACAGCTACCTAGAATACTCCTCCTCCCACCCACCTTCCTGCAAAAATGCTATCCCCTATTCCCAATTCCTTCGCCTCCGCCGCATCTGCTCCCAGGATGAGGCATTCCACTCCCGTACATCTCAGTTGTCCTCGTTTTTCAAGGACTGTAACTTCCCCTCCTCGGTGGTCGAGAACGCCCTCAACTGTGTCTCCCACATCTCCCGCACCTCATCCCTCACACCCCGTCCACGCAATAAGAACCAAAAAAGAATCCCCCTCGTCCTCACGTACCACCCCACCAACCTCCGGATCCAACGCATCATCCTCCGACACTTCCGCCATCTGCAATCCGACCCCACCACCAAAGACATCTTTCCCTCCCCACCCTTATCTGCTTTCCGGAGGGACAACTCTCTCCGTGACTCCCTTGTCCGCTCCACACTCCCCTCCAGCTCCACCACACCCGGCACTTTTCCCTGCAACCGCAGGAAGTGCTACACCTGCCCCCATACCTCCTCCCTCACCCCCATCCCAGGCCCCAAGAAGACTTTCCACGTCAAGCAGATGTTCACCTGCACATCTGCCAATGTGGTATACTGCATCCGCTGTACCCGGTGTGGCTTCCTCTACATCGGGGAAACCAAGCGGAGACTCGGGGACCGCTTTGCAGAACACCTACGCTCGGTTCGCAATAAACAACTGCACCTCCCAGTCGCGAACCATTTCAACTCCCCCTCCCATTCCTCAGACGACATGTCCATCCTGGGCCTCCTGCAGTGCCACAACGATGCCACCCGAAGGTTGCAGGAACAGCAGCTCATATTCCCCTTGGGAAGCCTGCAGCCCAATGGTATCAATGTGGATTTCACAAGTTTCAAAATCTCCCCTCCCCCTACCGCATCCCAAAACCAGTCCAGCTCGTCCCTGCCTCCCTAACCTGTTCTTCCTCCCACCTATCCCCTCCTCCCACCTCAAGCCGCACCTCCATCTCCTACCGACCAACCTCATCCCGCCCCCTTGACCTGTCCGTCCTCCCTGGACTGACCTATCCCCTTCCTAACTCCCTACCTACACTCACCTTTACTGGCTCCATCCCCGCCTCTTCGACCTGTTTGTTTCCTCTCCACCTATCCTCTCCTCTATCCCTCTTCTATCCGCCTCCCGCTCTCTCCCTATTTATTTCAAAACCCCCTTCCCCTCCCCCTTTTCTGATGAAGAGTCTAGGCCCGAAACGTCAGCCTCTCTGCTCCTATGATGCTGCTTGGCCTGCTGTGTTCATCCAGCCCTGCACCTTGCTGTCTCGGATTCTCCAGCATCTGCAGTTCCTACTATCTCTGACCTATAGTATCCAGTTTTCTACCTCCCTTCTTGAATCGAGGTGTTATATTTGCTATTTGCCAGTGTAATGGAGCCTTTTTCTGAATTTTGGTAAAATATCATCGCAAGTACAATCTCATTAGCAAGCTCTTTTAAGACCCTAGCATCTGGAGACATGTCAGTCCACAGCTCTACCAGGTTTCTTCATACCATTTCCCTCATGGGGATTGTAATTTCACCAGGTTCCTCTCTCCATTTCACCAACCAATTCATAACTATGATTACAATGTTGGTATTATTTGTATTTGTAGTGAAGCCAAGTAGCAAACCTCTGTTCATTTCATCTGCTGTTTCCTTATTACCTTTGATTAACTCCCAATTCTCACAGATTAGAGGACCAACATGCACTTGATTTACTCTTTTCCTTTTGAAATATCTGAATAATTTCTTTCTGTCTGTTCTCACATTCTGATCTAGATTGCCCTCAAAATCTAATTCCTTCCTCCAAATCAACCTATTAGGCATTCGCCAACACTCTTTATATTTTGACCAATCACCTGAGCTGCCACTCATTTTTGCACAGTTATATGCTTTTTTCTTTAAGTCTTCTCTAATTTCTTTAGTTAACAGTGGATGGTAGATCCTCCCTTTTGTTTTTTGTTTCTTTCGTATTAGGAATATACCTCATCTGAGTATTCTCAAATGTCCACTTTAAATGTCTGCCAATATGTCTCTAATAATTTATCCCCTAGACGGGTATGCCAGTCCACTTCAGCTTTCATGTTGAACATAGATGCCCTTATTTAGGTTTAAAATACAGGTTTTCTCCACAATATTTTATGGGGATGTAAAATCCAATCATATTATGATTGATGTTTCATCAAGATGCCTTAACTCGGAGGCAATTAATTAATCTTTTCACATTATACAAAACATAACTCAACAAAAAAGTACATTTACTTCACTGATTGCCTCTGATGACAAGAATGCCAATGACGTAATTGGTCAATCAAAAGTATTAA